TCACACAGCCTGGTTGAGTTTTCTCTAAGTTTTGCCACATGACAGGTGGCAGTTACAATGAAAGCTGTCTTCCCTGGAAGTTGTGGTCCACATTCCTTTTGAAAGCAACAGTGTTAGCCCTTAGTCCAGTTCTAGACTAAGTGCACAGTCAAGGCAGGGGGGAGCAGTAGATAAGCTTCCATGTCACTTCTGAAGGATGAGAATTTAGACCAAAATCCAGGCTTACTCATCTGCATTGTTGAAGTCTGGTTCTTGTCAAGAGGAGATTTAGAAGTTGCCAGCAGGAGTTCCAAAGGAAGTTGAGCAGAATGGCAGAAGCCAAACATTTAAGTCAGACAAGAGCCTCCAACTGGAAGTCTACAATAACTAAGCAGGATGATTAGGGAATGAAAAGCAGGGAGCAAGACTTAGAAGAATCAAGAAAATCTGAATCACCCAGAAAGCCAATCCTAATAACAACAGATCCTTAAAAGAAACACACACACGTGCATGCAAACAAAACAAAGTATAAAAAGCCAGAGAGAGAAAAAATAAAAAAATAAAATTAAAAAAAAAAGCCAGAGAGAGGACTTACTGTGTGGTCCTTAGGACAGAGGCAAGCATTACTGTCAACTTATTGGCTGGTGAGTATAAAAGCAATAATGAAATGTGCTGGATTTTGACATCTGCTATCTAAAACTCGTTTGCCCATTTCTTCCAATTAGTAAGAAAGTTCCAGGGGAAAAAGATGGAAGACACCTCTTGAGGTAGTATGACCATATGTCCCAATTTGGTGGGACAGTGGCAGATTTTGTCCTCATATAATCAGCAAGAGCATCTCCTTTCCATATAAAAAAGATTACTAGTTTCAATGACAAACTTTATGGTTTACTTAGAGGTAAACCTTTACTTAGAGGGCTCCAATTGGGAAAGGGAGGGAGGAAATAAGGAGACAGTCATGCATTTTGCAACAAATATATATCGATCATTTACTCTGTGCCAGGCTGTGGTGATATGGGTATAAATTAGATAGTTCTATCTGCTCTCCTCACCGAGTCAGCCATGAAACAGGGAAGAGAAATAGGTAAAAGAAAAAGTAAATACCAGATATAGTCTGATTAAAATTAATCTCATAACAAATAATAAAATTAAATTAATTTCATAAAGGACAAGTAGGTGGCAATTAGCGAGTGATACCAGAAAATAACAGAAATATTCCAGAAAATGAAATCTAAAAATAAAAGCTATAAAAAACACATTGCATTATGGAAATGCAACGTGTTTTCTACCTATGTGAAATGAGTAACATATCCCTTATTTGCTCTCTACCTCCAACATGATAAATAAGAATAGGTGAAAATTCCCTTTAATAGACATAGGATTCATTTAATCTGTCAGTCCGTCCACCTACAAATATTTGTTAGTTCCTACAATGCTCAGAATATGGAGCCCTGTTGGGTATGTAACTAGCTGACAGACCTTATCCGCATATAGCTGACCTGGTTGAGCTCCAGGTAGTTGGGATTAACCCAGATACTTAAAGACTAGCATTACCTAATACCTAGAAGTCAAACTAAGCATATGCAGTTTTTGAAAGTAGTTTCTATTTGAAATATTTAAAAAAAGAATTGATGTAGTCATCATGAAAAAATAAAACCATAATTTCTTTAGGCATCCTTGTTTTACACCCCACTCCATTTTTATATTTAAGAACACACCGTAGGTCAGGGTGTAGATGGTCAAGCATGTGTTTTTGTGGTCAAAGACTTGGAGTATATTTTTCCAGCTCCAAGAACTGACTCAAACCTCCTTCATCAGAATTTCTTGTCACTCTCTATTCATTGTCTTTGGCCTCCTGCTGCCTAGGAAAGCAGTAAATGCATCCGTATCCTCTACCCAGTAGTAGTCTTCAAGAGATCAGAGAAGGGTCAGCTATTCCTCCATTACCTCCACCACCGTGGTCTCATTAATAGCATCCAGCCTATCTCCCCATCAACCTCTGCCTGTAAAATACATGCTTGCCCTCCTGTAACAACATCCCACATGGCCAATCTTAAGGATTTCTTAAAATTGAAGTAGAACTTACGGTTATCCCACAGTACCATTATTAAATGCTACTGTTAAAGGGAAAAAAATATAGGCTCACTCCTCCAACAGCTCGCAGCTGATCCTACCCTCTTTTCCCCTGAACCTGGGATTCACCTGACAGTGCCTTAGATCATTGCTTCGTATAACTGTTTTAAATAATCAAAACTGCCAAGAGACTTCAGTATTTCTCTAAGCGGGAAGAGTACTCTAGTTTTTCCAAGTGTGCGCCAAGTGCTTTATGGGACAGTGACATTCTTTGCCTCTCCACAATAGGCTGAGGCTATTGAGAAGATTCTCAGGAGCAGTGATGTATTTCATAGGTCAGTATGGCCTGTGTGTGAAGAATGCATTTCCAAGAGAGCTGGCTCAGGTTAGAGGTATTAGAAAGGACTCTGCCCTGAGATTTTTCTCCCTTACCTCTGAAAGCCTAGCCATGAACAGACACACAGAACACTGGTCTGCAGCTGGGTGACTTTTGTTTTATGTGTTTCCATTGAAAAGTGAAAGGAGATTTTGTTTCTTGGGAAAGCCTGCCCTTAATTTCATCAACCTCTACTGCTATTAGGTAGATTGGGTAGGACAGGGTAGAGATTACAGTCCCCACTCATCAAGTTATCATTGCTGATACCTAATGCCTATCAGGTCCACCAATGCCATTTTCCTGTGCAAAGGACAGATTATTTGAAGAATCATTCCCGTTTCATCAAGAGACTATCAATTTGTCAGTGGCACGACGGTGTTGGTTGACTGATCACACCACAGAACATTGACAAGGTTTTTTTTTTTTTTGTCCTTTAATCCTTTTATCAAAGTTACTTCATAACCAAATATTTTTCAAAAGGCCAAGCTGTCTTTTCAAGAATACAAACATTTGTTTTAAAAGGGAAATCTCAAGCTGCGAAGTGAACAGTAAAAGGTAGAATTGAGCCTAGAAATGAACATGACAAGGTGCAATATTCAGTGTGTATATCAGATTTAATTTTGCATAAGAAATGAATTTCTTCAGCTTATTTTTTAATTAGCTTAAGCAAGTGCTTTCAGGAGCCAATAACACAGACTTACGGGAACTGAATTACTGAAAGGGTTCGGAGCCCAGGCTCTAAATCACAGGCCTTGAGCCGATCCCATAATTAACACCAAGCTGAGGCACTGCATCAAATGCTCCAGAAACACCTTTGCCAAAGAGCGGGTGGGGAACGCAGCGATCGTTAAACCCAGGCAGTAGCATCTCAGGGACTGCAGGGCCTCGCCAAACATTGAGAAGTCAGTTACATCAACGTGCTAAGCAGTTAATGTCCTGTCAGGCACATCTGTGTTTACTACCATCAGATAGTCCCAGCTGTTCACGTTGTCTCTGTTTGATGGTCATTCTGGGACCTGCGTGATGTTGAGAAGCATGTTATTAGAGAAGTAAATTCCTTACTGAGAATTGATCAAGGAGGGAGGTAAACTCTGGGATGCCAGAGTTGGTTCATAAAGTTGAGGACACAGACGTGTACTGGCAATTACAGAAGCGAATTTATTTGGGACTCTTAATCAGGGCTTTTAGGGGTCTGTTATTGCTTTGGTTTAAATTATGCTTTCGAATCACTCCTGTAGTCAGGTTCTTTTAGGGCACCTCAAATAGATATAAAGCATTCCTTTCCTGTGGGCACTGGAAGCAGGCAGGTGCATTGCTACTATACAGATAAGGAAAAAGAGTCACTGAGATGCCAAGAGCAACCTCTCAAACAGCTTGTTGCAGAGGCCAGGTGCTATGGATTTAAGAGAGGAAAGGTAATTTGTCTCTGCTGAGGGTCTTCTGTTTGCCTTTCCCGGTCCACTCTGCCCTTCACAACCCTGCTCTCTGCTCCGAGAGCCTCTGGGGATTGGGAGGCCCCTGGCTTCCCCCTTGGGCTCAGCCCCTGGAGTTCCAGGGCAGGAAGGACAGCAAAGTAAGAAAACTTTCTCCCCCTCTCTGGCCCGTTTTCAACTGACCAGGTGGAAAGGTCACAGAGCAGAAGCTCCAGGACTCTTCTTGCAGCTTTCCTTGAGCCTAAGGTGGTGACAGTAGCTCTCTAATTACCCTGGGCACTCTACCATTCCCTGTGATCTCCTTACACCTTGCCCACATCTTTCTTCTTCTTTAAAGCTTCTTTGAACTATCCCAGTTTGAGTGCGGCGTCTTGTTAAGACCCTGGTGGACATGATATCCCTGCAAAAATGAGCTCGCAGGCTCCTTGGTGAACAGCAAGAAACACTGCATAATTGGCTAGAAAACAGGGTTATTCTGCAAATGTGTAACACACCCCAACTCATGCAGACCTTGATACTTTACCAGGAAACGAGTTCACAAAGTCCATGTCTTTTTCTCCTAGCTCCTTCTGCTTTCCTAGTGTACACTTTGAAGATAGAAAGCAAAAAAGCTAGAAGTCAGCCTCACTTTGAAGAGTTGAACATAGTCTTTTATAAACGTTTCCCATCAATCCCAAGGACTTTATGACACATCTCCACTCTTGTTCTCCATGCTCTCAGCCTTTTCTCAGATTCCAAAGGATACTTGGTCTGGTAAGTCCTCCGGACAAGAGAGAAAATCTGCTATGGCCCAAAATGTTCTGGTTCATACAAAAACTATACATCCATTTTCCTGTGGAACTCAGAAATATTCAAGTTTAGACTCTCCTACTGTGACTGTAACTAGTTGGTCATTCTGGTGCACTTAAGAATTGGTTTAAAGGGTTGACTAAAGCAACTTAGGCTAAATGCAGAAGTTTCACACAAAATGAGAATAAATAACCACATTTCTATTCATGCAATTGTATCTGGCAGCTCGTTATCAGGGGATGAGATTTGGTCTCAATCATTAAGCAAAGTGAAATGTAAAGAATAGCATGATGAGGGAAATGTTTAGTGGTGGTGGTGCTTGTCTTCTAAATAAAACTTTCATTGCTCAGGATGAAGGACGTGTGTCTCTCCTGGAGTGACTCAGCAAAGCCAACTGCCGCAGAATCCTCAGGAAGTGCCTACTGGGTTAAAAGAAACCTCATAGCTGCTCTGTGCTGCCTTTATTACTGGTTATGGACCACCTTCGTGGAGCGACTCGAGGTCTCCACAGGTACAGCAATTTCTTTTTTGGCAACTTTATTGTCAGACAATCTGCCTTCTGGGTATGTTGTTATCGCTGTAGTCAATTGATGTTCTGACATTGTTCCTGGCAGGCTTGGTTTTCCAGGGCACTGCTTGAGGAAAAACCACGAAAAACCTGGCACTGTTTTATACCCTTTTCCTCCCTGTGTATTATATTGCACAAGAATGGAGGTGGGAAAATTGGACTTTTAAAAAATAATGCAGCACCACTGAATGGAGAAAAAGAGTGACATCCGTCTACAAAACTCTGTCATTGCCAGGCTTTCCCATGAGAAAGAGCTCTGAGGTGTATGGAGTTTTAGCAGAGTTTGAGATAGTTTAGTTCACTGTTCTTTTATCTTAGATAGAAGATTGACCAAGTGTAACTCCTGTCAACACTCCGATGTGCAAAGAAAACATAAATACTTTATTTTGTCTTAAGCTGATCTGAGCTTCCAACCCTGTCACTATCCACCCACACTCATACCTCCATCCCCTGCCTACTCCCCATCCCCCACTTAGTGATTAATAGGAAAAAAAAATTAAGTGTCCGTCCAATCCTGTTTAAAGTATAATCCATTCAGATAATTTAAACAGCCCAGTTACAGTGTTTAGTCTTTTGACAAAGCACGTTTTTCTCTGAGGTAGTACCCATTTCCTCTTTCTTTCCTTGTAGCATTATCTGGGTACATTGGTTGAACGAGGTGACTTATGAAACTTTCCAGGAGTAGAAAATAGTCAGGGCCCTTCTACCCACACTTCCTGCTTCTTATCATCCACGTGTTGCTTGCTCTGAAGGAGTTCCCAGCTAAACTCTGTGGCTGGGTCACTTGTGATGTTGATCTACTTCAGTCAGGACCCATTAGCCCTCTCTGGTGGTTTTGACCTCATTTGGGTTTGTACTCTTTCTGTTGAGTTCTGTGAGACATGGCTCTGACTTCCATTTAGCCCCGTCTTGGTTATCTCCTCAGCTGCCCATGCCAGGCATCCATGTTTCCTCACTGAAGTAATTCCTCTAGCCTCTTCTCCAGTGAGGCTCTACATATATTCTGTCTGCACCACTTAGGAACCAGGGGATGCTTGCAAAAGCTGATACCAGGGGTTTCCTCTGCCTGGACCTGGTGCATCACTGGGTTGATGTGATTTATCCTTTATTGGGGTAAGAAAGTCCCCTCTGAAAGTCACAAATGTAGATAAGGGCAAGAAATGATACCCTCAACAGTCCTGTCAATTTACTTAACATGCCTTCTTTTCTCCAAAATGATACCCAAAAAGGAAAACTCAAGATATATATATATAGATAGATAGATAGATATTTGTATATTTATATTTATATTATTTATATATAAAACTCCCCTTTGTACCTCTTCTATGTGTCTCCTCACACAAATTTTCTGGTATCAGAAGAAGAGTCTTATTTAAAATGATCACGAATGTCATCTTAACTCCTGCTAAGCTCCAATAATGTCATAAATATCTTCTTTGGGCAGCCCGGGTAGCTCAGTGGTTTAGCGCCGCCTTCAGCCCAGGGTGTGATCCTGGAGACCCGGGATCGAGTCCCACATCGGGCTCCCTGCATGGAGCCTGCTTCTCCCTCTGCCTGTGTCTCTGCCTCTCTCTCTCTCTCTCTCTCTCTCTCTCTCTCTCTGTGTGTGTGTGTGTTTCTCGTGAATAAATAAATAAAATCTTAAAAAAAAGAGAAATATCTTCTTTGTACTGTATATATTAGATAAAGTGGTGCTGGCTTTTAAAACAACAGCCTCAAATCTCGGTCACATAATATGGTACCAATTTCTTCTCAGTCACCCCACAGTTCAGTGTGGACCAGTGTTGGGGACTAAGATACTCTGTTGTATGGACTTACTTGGGGGCCCTGGGATCTTTCCATGTTCTGGCTCTTTCAACTTCTAAGATATCTGTGTTCCCCTCTGGGTTCTGTGCATTTGGCTGTAGCTGAGGAAAGAGCATGTGCTTGGAGGAGTGTATAGGTTTGGGGGCTAGGCTTAGAAGTGATAAACATCACTCCTTCTTTATTCTTACTATTGTTTAACTGCAGGAGAGATCAGGAAACACCATCTTCCTGGGTGTCCAGCACAATATGAGACAGGTGTGATGAACATATGGCAATGTCTATGTCACAAATTAGTGACACAGTCTATTAACTGAGCCCACCAAGATTGATAGTTGGTATTGTAAGAGTGGGTTAAGGATTAGAACAAGAAGATGAAAGGAATTTTCAGTATCCACTCTCACGCTCTGAGCTTCCATGACTTAAAATGAGTATCTTTTACTTTAGGTTCCTTTAAAAAATAACAATAATTAATCTCCTCTGGAATATGAGTGTCTACTTTCAGCTATAGTGAAGGTCTGGTATGTAGGCATGGGGCAAAATATTTTTAAAAAACTTAAAAATTACCCCATTATAATATAGTTTGAATAGCTTTAGTAGCCCTTCCCCAATAGAAATATAAATATGAGAATTAACTAGAGTGTAGACAAGGGTCATTGAGAAAAGATAAACATGTTGGTCTAGAGACCATTTAGTAAAAGAGTTAGATAAATTCTGATCCACACACAGAGCAGGGGTCACAGACATGTAGCTTGTGGAATCACCTAGAACTCTCACTCATGTTAGCCTCATTGGTTCTGCCATTGCCATCCTAAAATTCTTAATTTTTTAACATGGCACCCGTGTTTCCATTTTGCACTGGATTCCACAAACTGTATAACAAGTCCTGCCCATTTGTGATTATGCCTAGAGGTGATGGGATACATCTAGACTAAGTGTCTCCAAGCTGTATTCTGAGAAGCCCTTTGGATTTAGTGGAAGTTCCTCAGAGACCTTGCCAAGGTGGAGGGGGGGAGGGGGAGGGGTTGGAAATCAAGCAGATGGTCTACCACCCACTTTTATTCATCACATGCATCCGGTGTATGCATGATATTTCATTTGAGGAATGAAATCAGTGCTAAAAATAAGTTGAAAGCCACTGGGATACAAAATTCCTCTCTGCTTTGATAACATAACAGAAAGTCAACTGCCATGAGGTGAAAAAAGATCTAAAACTCTGTTTCAGGGCATCTGGTTTTATTTCCCACTTCTGTTCCTTTTTAACTTTGGGGACTTACACAAGATACAAATTCTCTGTCAGTTTATTTATCTGTAAGATTGAGATAATAATAAACTGGGTATGATTATTGTCTTAATTCCATAATATGTATGTAAATACTTTAAAAGTAATTAGCTCTTGTATAAGTAAAAGACATTATAATAAACTGTATTTTAAATAGGTTTCTTTATTTTTAAATATATTAATTTTTAAAACTTAAAATGAACACAAAATTGCTACTAACTATAAAAAAGTGAAAAAAAGAAACAATTGTGCCTATTTGATTCTACATTCCGTGGCTATTTACTGATTATGGGCCTTACATGACAGGTCTTATTGGTAGACAATGTTGTCAATGCCTTATGTTGTCAATTTAGTAGAAATACTAAAATTAAATGAGCAGAATATTAGTCAAATGTGGTTTCCCAAGAAGTGCTTAAGTAAAGGCATTTAGTACTTAAGACCTTGAGAAACATCACTTCTGCTCCTCAATACTCTGGAGTATATGAACAGAATTACAATCCTGGAATCTGGCAGCAGATCTTTTGAAGAATAGATACTTCAGAAAAGATCCTCTCAGCCAGTGCATTCCCAATTCTGGAGCTTCTGGATCCTCTGTGGCCTTCGACTTGGTGACTGAGGAAGACCCATCCCATTGGTCTCTCTTCCTTGGTTTTGATCCTCGAGGTACACCAACACAGTGAAATGAAAGACCTACACAAGGGAAAAAAGATTCTCTTTCTAGAGCAGAGTTTCCTTTGTTCCTTTCCAATAGATCTCATCCCAGTCTTTCAGCGCCTTTCCATTTCAGAAGGCTCTGCCCAAACAGGAGACAGCTTTAAATCTCTCAGCAGTAGTTTGGGAGAGAAGATGGAGCAACAAAGTAATAGGGAGGAATTTGAAGCCAAAAAAGAAAGAAGAAAAAGAAGAAGAAAGAAAAGAAAGAAGAAGAAAGAAGAAAGAAGAAAGAAGAAAGAAGAAGAAGAAGAAGAAGAAGAAGAAGAAGAAATAATAATAATTCCAAAGAGAAAATAAATCCTAAAGGAAACCAGTTTAAAGAATACTCTGCTAGCAAGGAAGAGCCCTTAACCTCTTTTCTTTTCCCACTATCCTTATTGTAGTGACCTTATTGTCTTTGCTTGATGCACACATCAGAGGTCCCCTGACTGGGGGTGAAAAGAATTGTAAATAGGAGAGACAAAGCCTGAGTTCTCTAGGGAAGTTAGAGTTCATACAACATACATAAATTTCTGACTGATTTTGAAATAGTGTTCTTTTCCTGCCTTCCTCTTATGTAACAGCTCAAGGCATGCAAGTGGTAGACTTGGGGTCACATATGACTTCTAAGAAATTGCTTGTTGGCTTAATAGTAAAGGATTGTCAGAGGAGTTTTATTGAGAGGGAAACTAAAGTTAGAACAATGATAATAATATAAATCTAACATTTTTGAGCATGTACTACTATTGCTTATTAGACTAAGGACTATTACATTAAGTATCTTAACCTTCATGAGAATCATTACTTTAGATATTACTATAATAATTAGTATTATTATTTTCCAAATTTTCCAGTGATAAAATAGAAGCTCAGAAAGGTTAAGTGGCTCATCCAAAACTGCACAGCTCATGCATGGAAAGGGTCCATTCTTTTACCCAAGATTCCTAACCATCAAAGTCCATACCCTTAATCCTGTCTTTACTGCTATTTTCTGTGCATATATATCACATGGCTATAGGAACCCTAAAAAGATAAAAAAAAAAAAAAAACCAGTAGATTTGGTAATCTTAACTTTAAATTTGTATCTCAAACTACAAAAGAGCAAAAGTACTTTGGCAATTTTCTGGTGAATTTGATCTGTGACTAGAGCCGGAGTACATTAATC